CTGAACCCACTGATCTACAGCCTGAGGAACCAGGAGGTTAAGGGGGCTCTGCGAAGGCTTTCCAAGAGACTCTGCACCTTAGGAAACTTCCAGCCTGGTTCCCAGGCCAGCCAGGCGTGGCGGCACATCTCCTGAGCCCAAGGAGTTAAGGCCTAACTTGAAAATACCTCAGACAGATGAGTTGCACTCCTAGTAACTGATGTGGTTCACATTCCTGTGGGATGATCTTTCTCATTGGCTCCCTCTTGTTTGGATTTGGGAAGAAGTGAGTTTTTTGAATAACTAGTTTTCATCCCCTAGAATCTCATCACTTTGGAACTGAAAAGATACTTTTAAATATCATCAAGCTTGAACCTCTCATCTTTCAGATGGAATATGGAGCATTGGGGATTACTAAGCCAAATTATTACACAAGTATGGCCTGCAGAACTTTGATCATTACATGCACTGTTTTCCAGAGAGAAGTCAAAGTGAGTTACAATACCATTATACAGAAGAGTGATTTTTCAGTAAAACGGTTTCTTAAAATTATAATAATTTTATGGTTTCTCATTATTCTCAACTGACAGTAATAATAAGCAGCTCAACACTTACAGTAACCGAATTATTCCATCTGAACCTTAATGTTTTCATAAAAGACAGTGTAGTTCACTGATAATAGAGAGCAGCGGAGCCTTCACAGTGGCTCTAACACCAGGAGGCAGTGGTCCACTTTGGGTCATGTACAGAAAGCAGAGCTGCTTAGATGCTAGGAGAGACTGGAATGCAAAGAGGAAAAAAGAAAGAATCAAGGGTGGACTACAAAAATGAGTGGGATAATTATTTATATGTAGAAAGTTCTGTGGAAGTGGAAGCCCATAGATATGGTGGGGGAGTGGGGTGAAATCAATAACTTGTTTTTGGCCATGTTAATTTTGTGATACCTCTCCAAGTGGAGCTATTTCACAGGCAGTGAAGTACATACGTCTTGAGGCTCAAGGCCTTGTTCGGAGGTAGAAATGTCACAACAAAATGTAAGTGATATCTGAAGCCATGGGGCTGGGTGAAATCACATAATGAGAGACTAGAGGAAAGAGAAGAGAATGATGAACAGAGCCCGAGATGGTTGCTCACTCCAGCATTTAGAGACCTGGGAGAGGAGATAGCAAAGGAAACTGGGAAGCGGCTATTGGCAGGACAAAAGAGGGAAAGTTTGGTATGTGTGAATCCTAGGAAAAAGTGTTTTTGGAATATGGGAGTGGCCACTCTCTCAAATGCAATTGAGAAGTCATTAATGAGAACAGGTAATTGATTACTAGATTTGACAAGATACAGATTATTGGAAACTTTGGCAAGGACAGTTAAGTGAAGTGTTGGGGAAAAATTACAATTATGTGCCAAGAGAGTGAATAGAGGCTGTCATAACAGGTGTTTCTCAAGTATAATTTTTTTTAAGAAGATAGGCAAAAAGTGGAGTGTAACTTGAGGACATGAGTCAAGAGAGAATTTCTTCTAATTTTTGTAAAGACTAGTGACGTTAAGCATCCTTTGCTAATAGAAATAATACAGTATATAATGAAAAAGTCAGGATTCAAGAGAAAAAGTAATAAATTGCAAGATAAAACCCTGGAAATGAGATGCACATCTGTTCAGGGGATGTTTTTGTCTAGGAGATGAGCCTTCTCTTTCCCTGTAACAAAAAAGAAGTCCGAGGATGCAGATGGGCTGGTGAATTTGATGGCAGGAAGGTGGCATATACTTGGAGAGACTTCAGGTGAGAGTAGTGGAGAGCAAGATTGTTCTAGAGAATTGTAGAAAGAAGTGATGTGAAATATGCTAGCGTTTGAGAAAATGAAGTACTAGGAAATGTTTTGGTAAGCCTCAACTCTGCCAATACTGAGTGGTGCCCGTTTAGATTTTTCATTTACAGGTTTAGTATTAGTCATGTCAGCCTGGTTGGGTGATATTCTCCAACAGTTTTTACGTAATCAGGTACAGTCATGAATAAACAAAATGATGGCTTTACCTTGGGCTAGGATTTTGCCAGGTGGGACAAAAGGGAACAAAAGAAATAAGGGTAGTTTACAGTTCTGGGCTGTAAAAATATATTCTTGTAAAGGTGGGAAGGAAGAATATAAATTAGGTGATGGATAATGAAAAATGATTTCAAGGGATAATAGATTTCAGTGGTGAAAGAATAGAAGCTGATAGGAAGTGAAAAGTTTAAAACTGAGATTTCACCAGCAGTGCAATTATTTGTAAAGGCAAAGTAAAAGATTGTTGAAGCTAAACAAGTCAGGAACAGAGAATTCAAGCTGTTAGATAAACCATTTATATGGATATTAGTGTTTCCAAGAGTGATAATTAAATAGTTGTGGAGAGAGTTAGAGATTTAGATGCTGAAGTCATCAAGGAGCAAGGGAGAAACACCAGGAAGTTCCCTTATTTTCTTTTTCTTTTCTTTTTAAAAAAAAAAAAATTTTTTTTACAGTTTTTTTTTTATTTTTTTCAAATACATTTGTCTCTGCCTACCCCCCACCACTTTTCCTTGCCCCCTCCCTCCTTTCCTCCCTCAGCTCTTCCCCTTTGGTTTTGTCCATTAGTCCTTACTATATGTTCCTTGACTTTCCCCTTCCCTTCCTTTTCCCCGCCCCCCTCCCTCCTTCCCTCTTGTCTCTGTTGATTTCTTTTCCTTTCAGTGTTGCTGGTCTTATTTTCCTCGCATCTTTGTATTGTTGGTTAGATTCCACTTATAGGTGAGATCATATGGTATTTGTCTTTCGTCCCCTGGCTTATTTCACTTAGCATAATGCTCTCCAGTTCCATCCATGCTGTCGCAAAGTTTAGTAGTTCTTTTTTTCTTTCTGCTGCGTAGTATTCCATTGTGTATATGTACCATAATTTTTTGATCCAGTCATCTACTGATGGGCATTTAGGTTGCTTCCAACACTTGGCTATTGTAAATTGTGCTGCTATGAACATTGGGGTGCATAGCATTTTTGAGAAAGAAAAACAAAGTAGGAGGGATCACAATACCGGACATCAAACTCTACTACAAAGCCACTATACTCAAAACAATCTGGTACTGGCACAAGAACAGATCCATAGACCAGTGGAACAGAATAGAAAGCCCAGAAATAAGCCCAGGTCTATATAGGCATCTAATATTTGACAAAGGGGGCAGAAGCATAAAATAGAGCAGTAATAGCCTCTTTAACAAATGGTGTTGGGAGAGCTGGACGGCTACATGCAAAAAATTGAAATTGGATCATCAGCTGACACCATACACAAAAATAAACTCAAGATGGATAAAAGACTTAAATATAAGTCACAACACCGTCAAAGTCCTAGAGGAGAACATTGGCAGGAAACTCTCAGATATCCCACGCAGCAATTTTTTCATTGATATGTCTCCTAAAGCAAGGGACATAAAGGAAAGAATAAACAAGTGGGACCTCATCAAAATAAGAAGCTTCTGCACGGCGAAAGAAAACATCAGCAAAATGAAAAGGGAGCCAACCGTATGGGAAAATATATTCGCTAATGATACATCAGATAGAGGTTTGTTCTCCAAGATATATAAAGAACTCACTTGACTCCACTCCAAGACGACAAACGATCCAATCAAAAAATGGGCAAAGGACCTGGGCAGACGCTTTTCCAAGGAGGAGATACAGAGGGCCCAGAGATATTTGAAAGGATGCTCAGCATCACTAGCCATCAGAGAAATGCAGATCAAAACCACCATGAGGTACCACCTCACACCGGTCAGAATGGCCATCATAAACAGATCAACAAACAACAGGTGCTGGTGAGGCTGTGGAGAAAAGGGAGCCCTAGTCCACTGTTGGTGGGAATGCAGACTGGTGCAGCCACTGTGGAAAGCAGTGTGGAATTTCCTCCAAAAGCTGGGAGGCCCCTCTCACCTTTCTCTTTTGATCCTACACCCATTAAACTGAAGAATTGACATTTTAATAGAGATGATGGCCCTTGGACCTTTTCCTCATGTGCAGCAGCATTGATTGGTCAGCAGACAAACACCCAGTAAAACAGACAAGTTCCATATTATCAGCTAGAGAAAAGACCAGCAGTTGCTGAGACAAAGGAGTGTAAGGTACTCTGAATTGTACTGCTAGTGAATTTAAGGAAATTCAGGCTTGAGGCCTATGACAGTGCTTAATTGTGGAACATCTGTATCTCCTGTCCTTATTCACTGGACATTTGTCATTATGTCCCTTTCCCCATATTGTAATATCTCCCCATTTCATTTATCTTGGTGGGAGACAGAACCCCCCTCTATCTGATAGAAAGTAAAAGCAGTCGTGTTGCTCTCCCAGTTTCCCTGTGAACGGGAGCATGGGCGAGTGACCAAGACTTGGCCAGTCACATGTACCACCTTATTTTGAATCTCGATGTGGCGGTGCAAAGAATAAAAACTGGGCATTTCTTTCTGGAGAGCTGGTTTTCGGGTCTCCAAGGGCTATGCCCTGTGACTATTGCTGGTAACTCTTGTTAGTGAGGACACAAGTGGCAGTGAACAGAGTTTGATGGCTACAGCAATGGGCTCATCAGACCAATTCTGCAATATGATTTTAACGTTGTTCTCTTCCACTTTATTGAGCTTAGTTGCTTAGTCTTCTTGGAAAATCCATATATATTTTCAATAAACATTTCCTTCATGAATCAATGAGAATTAGTTTTTGTCACCTGTATCTAACTAACTCTGAGAGTTAGAATCCTGGTGATTAATGGCAGGTCCAGAAAACAACTCACTTATAATCAAAGCCATGCTTGTGTTTCACGCTAAGTACATAGTTTCATGTGCTTGGTGTTTAAGGGATATCTCAGGACAATATCCAATGAGAAAAATCTGTGATATGTACTTAATTTAGATATTTCTGGGAAGTTTTAAAGTAAACAGATATGTGATAGACAGACTATTTCCCCAGAATCACAGATAAAACTTGGAACTGTGTTTTGGGGTTTTATCTAAAGAAAGAAATCCGTATTCTGCTCTTGCATTACCTGAAGGCTCCTTTGACACCCCCATTTCTCAGGCTGTAAATGAAGGGGTTCAGCATGGGGGTCACCACTGTGTGCATGACTGTCAGGATGCGACCCTTTGCCACCGAGTAGCTGGTAAGAGGCTGGAAGTAGACCCATGCGAGGGTGCCATGGAAGAGAGCCACCACCATAAGGTGGGAGCCACAGGTAGAAAAGGCTGTCCCCTTGCTCTTGGCTGAGGGGCTCCGGAGGACCACTGAGAGGATGCAGGCCAGCGCTCTGCTGATTACAGTAACACCTTCTGTGTGAGTCATCAGGGTGCTGAGGTGGGTGCTGGTGCAGGATAACTTCATCAGAGGGTAGAGGTCACAGAAGAAGGGAGGGATCCTGTTGTCTGCACAGAAGATCAGTCGGCCCATAAGAAAGGTGTGCAGCAGGGCATGAAGGTGGGAGAGGATATGGCACAGAGCCAGCATCTGCGAACACAGCATTTTGGTCAGAATCTTAGGGTAGCGGAAAGGGTGGCAGATGGCAATGTATCTGTCACAGGCCATCAGAGCCAGGAGGAAATTTTCCATGGATGCAAAGGGTATGAAAAAATAAGTCTGGACTAAGAAGCCCATGTAGGAAATGATCTTTGTAGGAGAGAAAATGTTCTGAAGCATCTTGGGGACAGTGGTGGAGGTAAAGCAGATGTCTGCCAAGGCCAAGTTACTGAGGAAGATGTACATGGGGGTGTGGAGGCATGGAGTAGAGATAATCAGTGTGATGATGGCAAAGTTGCCCAAAACGGTGATTGTGTACATGAGTAGAAAAAGAAGGAAGAGTGGGATCTGTTCTTCTGGGTGAGCAGAAATGCCCAAGAGAACAAAATGCAATACACTGGTCCAGTTGACATTGTCCATCTATTGCCAGAAGAACAAAAAGGATTATTGCTATTTTTTATTGAGGTATGATTGACATTTAACATTAGTTTCAGATGTACAATATGATGAGTCAGTGTTTGTATACATTGTGAACTGATCATCACGGTCTGTCTAGTTAATGCCCCTGTACTGGCATACAGAATTACAATTTTTTCTTGTGATGAAGACTTTTAAGATCTACTCTGTCAGCAACTTTCCCATATGCAGTATAGTATTATTAACTCCAGACACCATGCTGTACATTATGTCCCCATGACTTATTTATTTTATAACTGGAAGTTTGTACTTTAGGACTCCCTTCACCATTTTGCCTTCTTCCCCTATCCTTCACTTGTGGCAACCACCAGTCTGTTCTCTGTATCTCTGTATTTTTTTCTTTAGAGTCTGTGTAATAATGAGATCATATGGTACTTGTCTTCCTCTCACTTATTTCACTTAGAATAATACCCTCAAGGTCCATCCATATTGTTGCAAATGGCAAAGTTTCGTGTGTGTGTGTGTGTGTGTGTGTGTAAGACAGGTTGTTTCCTGTCTGAACTATTGTAAATAATGCTTCAGTGAACGTAGGATTGCACATATCTTTTCAAGTTAGCATTTTTATTTACTTTTTTAAAAAAAGATTTTATTTATTTTTAGAGAGGGGAAGGGAAGGAGGGAGAAAGGGAGAGAAATATCAATGTATAGTTGCATCTTTCGCGCCCCGTGCTGGAGACCTGGCCTGCAATCCAGGCATGTGCTCTACACTGGGAATTGAACTGGTGACCCTTTGGTTTGCAAGCTGGCGCTCAATCCACTGAGCCTCACCAGCCAGGGCTTGATTACTTTGAATATATAAATACCCAGGGTAGATTTTTGGATTATATGATAGTTCAATTTTTAATTTTTTAAGGAACCTTTATATTATTTTCCAAAAAGCATTATTTTTCATAGACTTGGACTTTGAGCAGGCCATTTAGTTACTATCACTTTTGTTCCCCAATGTAAACTACACACACTGTTGATAAAGGGATCAAGTGCTTAATTATTTTCCAAAATAATGAGGTATGAAGTTTCCATTATTACTAACATCCTCACTGTCACCATGGTCAACATTTATAGGACACTTACCTTGACTTTGCTGCATTATCACATTTACTTTTTGTAATAACCAAGTGGAAGCCATTATTATTATTCTAGTACAAATTAGAAAGCTGAGGTATAGAAATTTTAAGTTCATAAAGGGCAAAATCTGAACTTAAAACCATGTTTATTTGGCTGCAAAGACTAAGCTAGTGACGCTGTAGAACATGACTCCTCAAATTAAAACCAAGGCATCTCATTCATGGTAATAAGACCTGTTGATGGGCTATGCAACACAGGTTGTTTGTCCAGCAGTTTCTGTTTTGGGGAATGCAGACCCCGGGTGTTACCCAGTGACCTCTCAGAGAGTACACAGGCATGGTTTTAGGAGAATCAGAGTCCAGATTCTCTGCTTCTGTATTTCTCTTTTCTAAAATCATTTTGTCTTCAAGATGTCACCTATGCATTCCTCTGTCTTCCACCTAACAAGTGAAAGACATACGGTAACCCATCCAAGTCTTACTAGATGCATGGGCTCAGGATAAAAAACCTCAAAGGAGCCAAAGGAAGGGGCAATTAGAAGTATTAAGAAAATGAATGACTTTAATGAACAGATAACAAATTCATTTTTAGATCAAGGGGTTTCCAATTCTTTGCTCTAAAAAAAATTGAAGGGGACCTAATCTAGTTGTCAGCCCATCATTAAAGCTAATTTTTGATAACATGCAGCACTAGTTACTGTCATATTACTTGGACAGCTTTTGGTACTCTGCAATCTCAAAGGACAAGTCCGTTATTTTTTAACATTAAATCTAAATATCGACCAACAGAGGCAACACTTTGCAGTGGACTAGAACTCTGGCTCTGTCATTTAACAGCCATATGACCTTGAGGAAGTCACTTTCCCTCTACCTAGGTTTTCTCATCTGTAAAATGGGGGGATTTTAATGGCACTTTACTCATAAATTTGCTGGGAGGATTAAATGAGAGTACCTGTTCCTTGGCAGGTGTTCAGTAAATGTCAGCAATTATGACTGTTAATTTTCAAGTTTGTCTACAAAGAGTCTCCAGGTTTTGAGGGCAAGGACAGTATTTTGCCACACAGGTCTCTCTACAGTGAAGCTGCCCCATGTCACTGTCTTTAAAAAGTGGTTCACAGACCTAAGCAAAGTTCTGTAAATCTGCTCTCTCATCACAGGATAATCATGGTGATTTGGTCTGATCCTAACTCATAGCTTTCTGGGTGGAGATCAGGGTTGGCCGTCCACAAGTGAGCTGTGTCTGCGGCTATCCCAAGAATACTTAAACTTCACAGTTAGGTGGTTGGGAGAAAAAAATGCAAACAATTAATAACTGCCTCTGTGTAAGGCACTTCCACACGCATTGCCTCCTATAATCCTTACAGCGGTCTCAGGACACTGCTAGCCGCAGCAGTCCCTTATCCTCATTTCATGGGTGAGGAGACCAAGCAGAGGGAGTTCCTCTATGCTCAATGTGGTTTGAAGTGGTTAACTCAGCGCATGTCAGTGTTGAGTGGCCTGGGTGGGCTTCATGCTTGTGTCTGGCTACTCGAGTGCCGGGTGTGTCTGGCTGCATCACACTGCCCCTTCAGTTCACTCAGCGTCTTCCCTGTGGATTTATTTGTCACTCCCGGACTGTCTGCTTTTATATCTCAAATTAAAGGATGTTGCCATAGTATAACTTAATAGGGTTATTCGATTATAAAAATGTAAAAATTCATAATATGCTATTGAACTATCCTGAATCAATTTCAGTATGGTAGGGTGATGAATGAGAACTAAAGTTGTAACCACATTTATTGAGCACTGAGCGTAAACCAGGAATTGTTCTAAGAGCTTTATACATGTGTTTTCCGCTTGATGATCACAGCAGTTCCGTGATATAAGTGTTATTACCTTAATTTATAGAAGAGGAAATTGAAGCCCAGAGAGGTTCTCTGACATGCTCAAAGTCGCAGCATTAGCAGGGGGCAGAACCGGAATTTGAGTTCCATCTGACCTCAGTGTCTGTGCTCTTAACCCCTGGGCTCTGCCCTCCCCTAAGCTTTCCCTGACCTCGCCAGTTCCTACTTTCCTCTTCGTTTCTTCCTTTTCCACTGTGCTACCTTGTGCATTTGGCCAGTGGTAAGTGTCTATCATGGTTTTTCTTTTCTTTTCTTTTTTTTAATAGTTGTAACAACTTATTTTCTTTTTTAATTTAATTTTTATTTTTTATGCTGTTACAGTCGTTCCTGCTTTTTCTCCCTTTTCCTACCTCCACCTAGTCCCACCCTCTCCCCTCCTCAAGCCAGTGCCCATGTCGTTGTCTAGTCCATGGGTTGTGCATAAATGTTCTTTCGTTAAACCCTTCACCATCTTTCATCCCGCCCCCCTACCCCTTTCTGGCATCTGTCAGTCTGTATTATGTATCTAAGCTTCTGTTACTAATTCATTCGTTGGTTTATTGTTTTCATTTTATTCCACATATAATTGAAAAGTGTTCAACATCACTAATCATCTGAGAAATGCAAATTAAAACCTCAATGAGATATCACCTTATATCTGTCGGACTGGCTACCATCAGTAAATCAACAAACAAGTGTTGGTGAAGACGGGGTGAAAAAGGAGCCCCAGCGCCCTGTGGGTGGGGATGCAGACTGGAGCAGCCACTGTGGAAAGCAGTGTGGAATGTCCTTAAAAAATTAAAAGTGCAACTCCCTTTTGACCCAGAAATTATACTTCCGGGACTATATGCTAAGGACCCCAAAAGACCAATACAGAAAATATATGCACCCCTGTGTTTATAGCAGTGCTATTTAGAGTAGCTGAGATTTGGAAATAGTCTAAGTGCTCATCAGTAGAAGAGTGGATAAAAAAGCTGTGGTACATTTACACAATGGAATACAGTGCGGCAGTGAAAAAGAAAAACCTCTTGCATTTTGCAACAGCATGGTTGGACCTGGAGAAAATTATGTTAAGTGAATTAAGCCAGTCAGTGAAAGGAAAATATCATGGTCTTTCTAGTTTAATCCTTACTATAGAAGTAGGGAGTAGATAATCATTATTAACATTTTCAGATCATGAATTAAGGATCAGAAAGATGAATTAACTTCCCCAAGGTTACAGAGCATAGGATTGGAGCCAGGTTGATTATAGATTTGTCTAACTCAGAGGCAGTGCTCCTTCTATCCCACCTTACCCATTTAACACCCATGTTTCATTCTTGTCCTGCACTTGGTTCTCCTTGTTAGTCAGTCATTTTGATTAGACTCTCCAAATTGGATCAGGTGGCACTGCATTTATGGTTCAGGAAACATGGGATGTTTCTGCTCAGTTCTAGGGAAGGCCTAAGAAAGGGACTCAGCCCTACTCGACAGTTAGCGGGCTATGGCTCCTGCCTGGGTCACTGCCCATATAACTCCTGCGACAAAGCTCCCCGTAAGGATAGAGAGAGCCCCAGAAGTGGTTGGAGGGCAAGTTGCCCGGAACCTTGAAACCTTCCTCAATCTGCCTCATAGCGGACAGCGATTATCCCGCTTGACGCATAGTGCAGCATATTGACTCCCTGCAGGCAGTGGAGAGTCATGTGGTGTGCGGCAAGGGGGTGGGAAGCCAAGAATGGGGAACTAATGGAGAAGAACCTTGCTTTACAGAAGATGTGGAAAAAGAAGCTGCAGTGTGGTGTGTAAGAATGTGTCTTGACCCAGGGATCAGAAGATTTGGCCTTTGGTCTCATTCTGCCATGAAAATTTTCTTTGAGACCTTAAAATCATTTTATTTTGGGGGACCTCAGTTTCTCCATGTGGGAAATTGGAGGAATAGCACTTGCTTTCAGATCAGAGGTTTTGGAAAAAACAAAAAGGACTGTGGACATAAAAACCCTTTAACGAGTCTAACGAAGCAATGAGAAGTCATTTGCATTACAGTTGTGTAGAAACTTAGGTCTCCTTTCACAGATAGGTCCCATAACTTCTGGCAGTATGACCCCTAGACTTTCTGATAATGGAGTTGCCTTTCATTCCAAAGCAACCTTTGTAAATAGAGGAGGCACTTGGATAACAATCTATTCTCTGAGTTTCTCTGTTTGATCAGTAATTCCTAGAAGTTTTCTGTAAAGAAAGTCTGGGCAGTTGCTAAGAAAAGACAAAGTGGACAACAATGTTCAGGGGCTGATTTTTTAGATTATCCAACCCTGATTACCCATAATGCCTCCCCAACTGATTGATGCTCTCTGGAATTCCATTGGAATATCTCTGAATCAGGGAAACTTCCTGGAACGGAACACTCCTGACTTTCTAAATTATTCTTTTTTGTGGTTAAGTTTTAATAAGGGGAGGGGAGCAAGTCTATGAACACACAGCATATCTGAGGGCGGTATAGGGAAGAGGCTGCAGGGAAAGAAGAAAAAAAGGAAGACAGTTCAAGACAAAGAAGGCAGAGACAAACTTCACAACATGCACGATATTGTGTAAAGGACTGAACTGGAGAAAGATGGCCTTCCCTCTGGGAACTCCTAGGAGCCTGTGTGGGAATAGTTTGAGGTGCGCAGGAATGGCTGTGCGGGTGTGCAGCCCTCAGTGCAGGCACTCACCTCCCCGCGGCCCCCGGCTGGATGGGGATGGGCCAGGCCTGGCACATCCATCCTCCCGCAGGCAACATGCACCATTGCTTGGGAACAGAGGAAGGTGCCCAGCATGGAAGAAGGAAGGGCATCAGGGAAGGGTCGAAGGGCAGGACAGCCTGACTTCTGGGGGTGCTTCTGCTTGTCGGGCAAGAAAGCATGTCCAGGAAAGGCACTGGGAGTTTTGAGCATGTGCTCTTGCCTGAATCCCATGGTTCTCCCAGCACAGTCCCCAAGTGTGCCATTAGCTGGACTCACTGCCTGCTTCGGGACGTGGGACCCTCGAGGCAATGCTTCGGCTGTTAGTGTTAGTGACTGTGGCTTGGCAGCTCCGCTGATCCCAGGAGAGTGGCCGGGACCCGGGAGATCAGCCTGGACACGGGGTTCTCTGATGTGTGCTCCGAAATTTGGCACTGGGAAGAAAGCCCAGAAAAACTTAGATATGGTCACAGCATGGATGGATGTCTCCCTACCTGCGTCCTGGAAGATGTAGCCTTCTTTTAAGTGATACACTCTACTTTTATAAAACATTTAGCTGTGAAACATGTATTGAAAACTGAGAGTCTGTTTCCCACCTTCCGCACTCCTCTCCAGGAGTAATCTCTTAATGTTCTGACATGTACCTATTCATACACTTTTCTGTGCACATATGTGTATGTACAATTTTGTTTCTACAAAAATGTGTTCATTTGTTCTGGCGCTTTCTTTGTTTCTCTCATCTCATATATTTATTACAATCTTCCTATGTCACCATCAGGCCTACCTCATTATTTAAAAGTGTTTTGTAGATGTACCAGAAGTTATACACATTTCTCTACTCACGCCACTTACCTCCTTTTCAGGGGGTGAGGGAGAGCTATGGCAAAAGCAACACTACATCGATATTCTTTTACAGGCATCTTTGTGTCCATATATTTTTCTAGAAATGGAAATGCTAGATGAAAGTATTTGTGCATATTTAATTTCATCAGTGCCACCAGACTGTCCTTGAAAAGTTAAAACCAATTTATCCAGCCTTCAGGGGCACATGGGAACGCCCTTTTCCATGCCTGACAGCACTGTTGGCTAGCTCTTTACTGCTTCCCAATCTGATGAGAGGAAAAGAAACAATACTTTATGAGAGTTTTACTTTTTATTTTCCTAATTGCTGGGGGCAGTTTTTTTTTGACCGTTTTAGTTTTTCCTTGGACCATTTTCCAACTACATGCTTGCCCATTTTTTCTATGTGGTTTTTTTAAAAACTGATTTACATGTCATAAAGAGATATTCTCCTTTGTTTTCCTTCTTGACCTGACTCATAACTCTCTAGGTGTCTTCAGTATCCAGCTTGGATGGACATTTTTTTCTTTTACTTGTGTAGTGTTTATTCTGAGTACACAAATCATTAGTTTCCCTAGAAAGTACAAGGTGATCTTGTATCAGTCAGTGCTCAAAAATCTGAAACACACATGGACATAGACATCACTGAACGCACATAGTTGGCATTAATAATAGCTCACATATGTTCAGTGTTTACTGTGCACCAGACACTCTGTTTAAAGTGCTCAAATGCTTTTTATGTCTTTTAACCTCACAGTAACCATATACATTACCCCCATGTTCATTGCAGCATTATTCATGATAGTCAAGATAGGGAAATAACCTAAGTGTGCTTTATGGAGCACTTAACTGTAATCCAAGTTTGTTCATATATTATTTATTGCTCAGAGGAATCCCGCAATGTAGTTGTTCTTCCAGTTTTGCAGAAAAAAGAAACAAGAACTGAGATAAATTATGTTCCCCAAGTTACATAGTTTGTAAGTGGTGGGCTTTTGCTTCTGACTTATAACTTCTGACTTGAAGTTTTTGGTTCTTGTCACTATAACTTGGGGACAAGTTAATATAATTAGAACTAGGGTATATGTGTGGAGGGGCTCAGACCAACATAATCCAATTACTTTAATTTATAAGCGAGGAAACCAAAGCTGAGACATTGAGTGATTATCTAACAGTCACACAGTTCATTAATGGCAAAGCTGGCCCTGGAACCTGGAACTTAAATTAAGGCTTTGTTCTTCTTCTATAGTACACTACTTGTTTCAGTGTAAAGTGCGAGGTTATCTATCTCCTTTGTATTTCATTCTACTAGACATAATGAATCTTTTATTCTTGGGTTAGAGAGATCTATATCTTCCATAGTTCCTTTATAACTTGAGTTGAACAAAAATTTGGACTTTTATTTTCATTTTATATGTATACAAGTCCCCACGTGTGAACGTCTCTCAATTATCCAGTAAAAATAAACAAGAGCCATGTAGGAGTGGGTAGTACACTTCTCAAAGGAAGGGGACTTCACAAAGATGATTGGCGGTTACTGTTATCACTGGTCCCCTCCCTGTCCTCAGACATCAATCTGTGCTTTGAAATATAAACATGAGAAAAAGAGAAACCTCAGGTTCAGAGAAGCTACAGTGGTTGGGCTCTCAGGAGCCCAATTTTTGACTCAGTTCTGAGTCTTGGAGTGAGGACCCTAAGGTCCTAAAAAGAGTGTTAGAGTGTTTTTCTTCTGAGTAGTTTTCCCAGTGCCCCCTTCATATCGCTGTTCCTCAGGCTGTAGATGAAAGGGTTCAGCATGGGGGTGACCACTGTGTACATCACTGAGAAGACTTTGTTCTTTCCACCTGAGGGGGATGAAGGAGGACATAAATAGACCCCAATAGCTGTACTGTAAAACAGAGAGACCACAGAGAGGTGGGAGGTGCAGTTGGAGAAGGCCCTTTGCTTACCCTTTGGGGAATCAATTCTTAGAATAGCCAGTGCAATGTAAAAGTAAGATGTAAGGATGCAGACAAAGGGTCCAATGAGCAGCGTTCCTGCCACAAGGATGAGCATCAGGTTATTCACATAAGTACTGGAGCAGGCCAGCTTCAGGAGGGGGACCAGATCACAGAAGAAATGGGGGATGGCATTGGGGCCACAGAAGGAAAGCCTGGTCACTAGGAGGGTGTGCACAAGGGCGTGGATGGTAGTGACCACCCATGACCCAGCCACCAGCAGGATACAGCGCTGGGAGTTCATGGTCATGGCATAATGGAGGGGGTGGCTGACGGCCACATAGCGGTCAAGTGCCATCACAGCCAGGAGAAAGTTGTCCAGATCTGCAAATAGGCCAAAGAAATAGAGTTGTGCAAGACATTCACCATAAGAAATCAGTTTACTTCCTGAGCCAATATTATTTAGCATCTTGGGAACTATTGTAGAGATGAAACCAATGTCAGAGAAGGACAGGTTGGCCAGGAAGATGTACATGGGGGTGTGGAGGTGCATGTCAGAGCCAATGGCCAGGATGATGAGCAGGTTTCCCAGCACGGTGACCAGGTACATGCCCAGGAAGAGCCCAAACAGGAGAGGCTGCTGCTCTGGCCGTGCAGAGAGGCCCATGAGAAGAAACTCATATATGCTGGTCTGATTTCTTCTGTCCATATCTGCAATTCTGTGTGAAATAAATTATATTAACTATTAGTAGCAAAAAAGTAAATAATGCTGTGTTGAAATTTTTTGAACCCTTAAAAAATTATGTGGTTTAGACAATTGTGTTTGGTAAAGCTTGAATTTATAACTGTGCACATCAGAAAAGACAATTTGTAAAGTTAAAATTGGTGTCAGTACTTGAGCAGATATCCAAGGCTCCTTCAAACGATTTCAGCTGTCCCCACGAAACGTGATAGGTAGCATGAAAATGTGCTTTGGGCTGCACATGTCCTATCAGTATACACCAAATAATGATTATTTCCCTGAATGATTATGTAATTAAATAACATTTAGATAGTCACAATAATTAAAATAATTAATAGTATATATAATATGATCATATAGATTAAGTAAAATAATTATAATTAATTTAAACAATTTTTAAAAAGGTAAAATTGCAGAACAGTGTGTATGTTTATAATTTAATTTTTGTAAAATTGAAGCATAAATGTTTGTATATGAGTAAGGACACTGAAAGAACACATTCTAAAGGTCAGTAGTATTTACTCCTGAGGAGTGAGTGTGGGTCAAAGGTTGTGGGTGCCACCTTCTGTGTTACTCAGTTTTACCAGGATATATTATCTTTGCAATTAAAAGATTATTTTAAAAGTATGAAGGATGTGATTCATTGAAGTAATCCAAGTGACTACCCCGAAGGCAGCCTGGAGCTTTGGGGGTTCTGACAAGCTGACCAGGGTGTAATCTCTGAAAGGCAGCTCTGACATATAAGCAGACCAAAAATCAAATGCCTTTGACCCTGGGTGAAGAAAATAAAAAGTGATAGAGCAAGAATTTTTCATCGTAGCCCAGTCCCTCCAGGCCCTTTAAAATCTTCCCAGCTTTCCCGAAGAAAAGGCTCTAGGAAATGGATAAAATACTGCTCCAATTCCCTCCGACATGGCTGGCGATTGCTTGTGCTTTTTCTCTGCCAGCATTGATGTTCTGCACTCACCTGGGTTCCTCCACCTTGTTTGAACCTCTTTGTCTGGATGTAAAAAATCTAAGTTTTGACAGTATATTCTAGCTTCTGACTCCTTTGCTCTCACAGGGCTTTCTTATATTTAGATATTAGATTGATATATTGTAAACCTAAATAAAAGGTGTCAAGTCCTCATTTCATCTCCCCAAAATACACCTGTTTGCTTCTAGCCCTGTCCAGAGGAGAGAATCTTTTTATTTGAAGCTCAGATATCTTTATTTTCCATAGCAGCTGCAGTGAGGCTACACCTGGGACTTCATAACTCGAGAATCTTGGATATTATGTTTATCCAATCCAGATCCATTGCTCTGATTCAATGAAGAAGTCAGAGTAGTAATAATAACAACACTGGTTGAACATTAGCCATGTGCTGGCCACTAGGTTCTCTTAAGTGGTAACTCTGTGCAGAGGTGCTATCATTATGTTTACTTTAAAGATGTAGAAGCTGAAGTACAGAGGGGTTAAGAAACTTGCCAAAAGCCACACATTTAGGATTTGAAGTAAAATTGTCCGAGGCAGAAGCGTAAGTTCTTTCTTTTGCTGTACTGCTTTTCAGTGTTCACAAACCACATTCTGACTCTAGTTCAGCTTCCTGCATATTTTCAATAGGGAGAAAATGCATCATCAGCAAATTCATTCATTCATTCATTCATTCCAACTTTATCAAGATATAGCTGACAAAAACTGTATATATTTAAGGGTACAATGTGATTTTTTAATATGTTTAGTACATAATTATACATACATTGTAAAACGATTACCACAATCAAGTTAATTAACAATTCATCACGTTAGAGGATTTAAATATTCAATTTGGCAGTTACAGTTCATGGCAAATGAGGATATTTGGTACTTTGGGCTTATGCATCAATCTTTTGTGAGTGTGATTGATGTGAATCAGCCCACTTCACTCCAGTGCTTGGGTAAGATCCCATTTCTACACTTGTAAAGCTCATGTCCTCAGATCACAATTTTTACATGAGAGGCTCAGGCTTTTTCCTTTATGGTCAGTCTCTCTCTCCCTGCCCCCCGACTCCCCAACTGCAATTAGATCCAGATATAGGAGCTTAGCATATAACAGGAAATACAGTGATACATTCTGTTACATTCATTCAACTGTATCACCTTTACAGTGAGAATTACAAATAAATGAACACTTATTCCAGTTTTCATTTTTCTTGCTCAAGGGTAAATTAACCTTCAGGAATCTCATTAATTACTAGAAGCATACAGCACAAACAGTGACACTGATCCCAGATGAAAATGTACAAAAATGAATTGATATTCTCAGAATTCTTCTGATGTTCTGGACAAATAAACTAATAAAACATAGAACAATTGGCTTTTGGGGAAATGGTATGTCCCGTGTTTTCAGCCTTTATTATGACAGATGGTCTAACACCCTGGCCAAGGGTCTGAGCTGGAGGAGTGTATCACAACCACATGGGGAGCATTTCCTGTGCTCCCCCCTCAAAATGGAGTTCCCAGTGTAGCTATACACTTAAAACCACTGCATTAAACTCATTTAAAAAAAAATATTTATTTAGAGTTGGGAAAGGAGGGAGAAAGGGAGAGAGGTATCAGTGTGTTGCCTCTTGTGCATCCCTTACTGGCGACCTGGCCTGCAACCCAAGTATGCGCCCTGACTGGGAATCGAACCAGCATCCCTTTGGTTCACAGGTCAGCACTCAACCCACTGAGCCACACTGACCAGAGCAGGACTCCTTTATGCACTTTCAAGAAGAATAGTTAGGTTGCATAGAATAAAGAAAAAAATCTAGTTTGCACTAAGAAAATTTTGATTTGCCTTCTATATCAAACCTAATTATATGCTTTGAATAATTCATTTAGCTTCTCTGAACTGTAGTTTCCCTTTCTGTGAAGAGGGATAACTGAGTCTATGTCAGAGGCTGTTGGGAGGTTTCTTATTGCCTCACATCAGGAAAATGTTGATGCTATTCATGACATAATCAGCCCTTCATGATTCTGTCTCCATCAGTCTATCCAATGACACTTTCCCCTTATGCCATGCCACTTGACATTCTTGCTTAAGAATCCACTCGCAGTCCTCAAACAACTCATCCTATCCTGCCGGCATGCCTTCGCTGCTTAGCTCTTCCACTTCCTGAAAGACTCCTCTTTTTCTCCGCCACCTGGCAGGAGCTCAGGTGTCACCACCTGGGGATGTTGCAGTTCATTGCTTTATCCTCTGTGCTCCCACAGTCCCGTTTACAGGTCTCTGGTAGAACACTTGACATATTGCCTTACAATTACTTATTTATCTCCGTTACACTGTGTGTCGCCCAATGCCAGGAACTCATCTTTATTCATCTTGTTTCTTCTTAGTACGTACTTGGTAGTCATCTGTTGAATAAATCAGTGGATGGGTGGGCTGTAAAATGGCATTTTAAGCTATGATGAAACTGTATGGTGTTATTGTTTAGCTACCAGCATTGCCTTTTACTTTTAGAAATAGTTAATAAAACAGATGACTCTTACATGAAGATCTTAGGTTGCTTAGCATACCTTCTAGTATAGAAGGTGTTAAAAATTGTTTCTGAAAATGAAAACATTGTATTGTTCATGTTGAATTAGTAATCAGTTGTGCATTTTCACAAGTACTGAATTCATGGTTTATTTATATCTTACATTTGAACGAAATATTGTTTTAATTTAAAAAGGATGTAGAGAAAATGAATGCTTGGGATTCAGATTTAATATGAACATATCTTGATGTGCCCCTTCCCAGTGCTGAGAGGTGATATTGCCGTTCTCTCGCATTTACATATTTGAAAATAGCCAGCATGACCGCACATGCTCCATCCGCATGTCAGGCCCCTCTCAGGAGTATATGGGGGCTTTAGGAAACTGGTTTCAGGGACCAGAGGGTTAAATTTATAACCTGCCAGAGTAGTCCTCTGGATCAAAGCTACCTAGCCACCCCACCCTTTAGGAACCAAATGACGTAAGTCACTTGTCTTATTGTATGAATGAGTAAACAGATCTCAAAGAACTGCTGTACTCTGTCCAAGTTCAGCACTACAACTTATACCAAAAACAGGATTCCTGAAACTATGAACCATTCTGCTTCTCTTGACTAACCAGAAGAGGGGACAGGCATATAGCCAATGACTTACTGTCAGTCCTGAGTTGGGCCAAGAATTGCTCCTTATTTCTTCCTGTTAAGATAGACGTTTGAATATTCTGTTATCATTTCTCACTTGTCAAGACTGAAGAAATCTTTTTTGATGACCAAATGGAAAGACAGCATCTTCCCCTATATTTAAGACATAAGAGACCCAGGCATGTGGAAGCGTCATCTGCTCTCAGGAAGGAGAAATGAGAGCAGGGCATCGTCAATCCTGAGCCAGCCAGGTTGACTAAGATCCCAAGAAAAACAAAGTTACCTGCCTGCGGTTTCCAGCACAGTCCCCAGAGCTCTCTAATGGAAGTTGCAGACATCTGGGAATACCGGTCTCTAAAATACCCATTGCGGGGGGAAAAACCTTGGTTCACTGCCCAGTGCTAGTCCCAGAGCTCTAAGTGAACTGCTCTGTGATTTTATAAAGTTCACTTATCCTCTCTGGGCTTTGGTTTTCTGAGATAAATAAGTCAGAAAACAACATGTCCTCTCACAATAGAAATCTTAGAGTTAACATTTTTGTCATTCTGGAGCATATAAAGTATATCTTATTGTGGTTTTAATGAACATCTCTCCAGTTCTTAATGATGTTAAGGACATTTTCATCATTCCTATAACTTCTTTATAAAAAGAGTCTGGCTCATTTTTATTGGAATGATTGTCTTTTGGTAATGATTTGTATGAATTTTAATTATGATTTAATTAATACACTCTCTAATTTTCTTTTAGTTTAAGCCTTTAAAAATCCCAAAATTTTATCAAGATATTTGACCATCTTCAATTTCCATACATCTTGCATTACTTCCTAAAAATATTTATCTTTTAATTTAGGCGTGTCTTCCGTAAGTCTCTTTGCATGTTAAACCTTCTGAGTCTTTATGTATCTAAGAATATTTCTATATGTCTCTACGTTTGAATGGCACCTTGCTGGATATAAACTTTTGGGTTCAAAGTTTGTATTCCTCTTGTTCCCTAAAAATATTTCAGTGTCTGCACTCAGTACAAGAATCGAGAAATCTATTGACTTAATGACTACCATTCCTTTGTAGGCAAACTTCCCTTACTCTCAGGTATTTGAAAGGCAAGGAATTTCCAGAGTTCTTTGAGAAACTCTAGTTGCCATTGGCTGGACCAAATCACAGTGGCCCATTGCTGAAGCTGTGTAATTGGGGCCCGTTGTTTCCCAGGGCGTTTTCCAGTGCTAAAATGACTGCTCAGGGTTTGACCAGTTGTGCTGACCGTTGTGTTCCATCCTCAGTCGGGGATGTCCTGGCTGAAGGAGTAAAAGGTGATAGTCCTCCAGTGATCTTGACTAAGTAAAGGGAGCAGGGAAGACAGAATTTGCTGCTGCTCCCAGAGGAATAGCTGACCAGTGCCAGTGTCGGTTGTAGTCTGCTGGGTCTGGCTGGGGCTTCTCCACTGGCATGCTCGGCAAAGTGGTACACCCATTGTTTCCTACCATTTTTCCTCAGTGACCAATGACCCTCTTCAAAAGTTTTCCATTTGATGAGGCATGTGCATTAATGACTGCAGCGGCAGTGTGGGCTATTTTTTATGCCATGTACACCCAGTGGAGCAGAAGAACAATTGCACACTAATCTGTGAATGTTGGGGTGGGCATGGCACACCCATTTCCATAAGTGAAATGGATCCTGTTATTACTTGAGAATCTGAGGGAATTCAATGTTAATTTGAGGATCATGAGATATGCCAGCCAACTGGCACATCTTGACAGAAGTTACAGGTAATTCTGAGCCAGAACTATACAGGCCCAAGAGCCATTTAGTGCACCCTTTCATCTGCTAGTTGCATAAAATCTTCAATAGATTTTCAATTTTCAATCACATCAAATCTTGGACTTCCGTTTTAGTTTTTAACCTGTATTTTCATTCATTTATTTATTTGTTTGTTTGTTTGTTTGTTTATTGAGTTGTCATAGGACATACTTCAGAGGGGGTCTTCTCTATTACCTCCTGGTAGCCAGCTTCCTCTGCCAGGCAGTCCCGACTTCCATCACCAGGAGTAGGAGAATCCCCCATTGTGCTGCCTTACTCACTTTATGGGCCCAGGGCCTAAGCTGGTAAGAGGGCCGCCTTGCAGCATGTTGATATGCCACAGCACTTAAGAGGACCCCAGTCACTGCCGACCCTTTTATACAGTAAGCCAACACGGTCATAATGTTCTCTGGCTTCTCAGAAGAAGTGGGGTAAGAAGTCATCAGAGCCACTTTTCTTAATTGTTTGTGCTACAAGACACCATGGGATTCCCCCACTACCTCCCACCCCGCCCCATAACCCTCAGTGTTAGGGTCTTTGAATTAACTTTTCCCCCAACATCCTCTCACAGGGCAGCAATAGACCTCCTTGCTAGGCAAATTCTCAACCTAGCTTTCTGCCCCCACATTCTGTTCCTACTCATGATTGTCTTCCTTATCCTCATGGGTTTCTCAGTTTTAATATTATTGTTATAATTCTAGATTTTTTGTTTACTTCATTTTCTCAAGAATTGCTTTGGTGGGTAAGAGCCACCTGTCTAAGCTGATCACACACTTAGCAACAACCTGAAATCCAAAGGCTTAAAGGAGTCAAACAATGCCCCTTCCCTCAAGGTAGCAAGGCCTGATAATCTTTTCGCCAGGTTTGGAGTCAAAGTGTGCTGTGCTGGCCTCCTGTCCTGGCCTCCTCTCGCCACAGTTTGCAGCTTTCCGAGGAGATACCCCAGAGCAACCATCACACTAAGATCAGTGAGACGCACATGTCCTTGGACACAAAACTTATCAAATGCAAACCACCTGATACACTCTGCACTCCCTCCTCCGTGCTCCTTGGTGAGTGCTGGCCTGGGGAGCCAAAGTATGAAGCTAGAGCCATTACTTCATGTTTGTCTCTGAGGATGAGCCAGGGGAATCATACTCCAGAGGCCCCGAACTAGAAATACTCCTGTGACAATGTGCGCAATTATGTCTAACACTCACCACTGCACTCTAGTTGCGGCTCGCTAGCTGACTCAGTGAAACCAGCAGCGCTGGGTCCCTTCATCCTTCTCAATCGCTATAGGGTAAGAAGAGCCCTGTGTGCTTAAAGCCCCCCCCCCTGAGACCAAAAGGGAGAACACAGGCACAGGGTGGGCTCCTTTGGTGGTGAATGTTGTTTGGGCCAGGTCAATATGGTAGGTGCCGTGAGAAAGGGGCAGATCGCAGCCAGCGTCCCTGCATCCTGGCCCAGACACCCTGAGACAAGTGGTGAGAACCAGCCCCTCACAGCGAGTCACCTATGTCTGCCTCCTGCAGAGGAAGAGATTAAGCTCAGAGGTGGACGTGTTTAAGGACTTGGGAAATGGCTTCAGAGTCCACACTGTATTTACTGTCTTTGAGATTTTGTGCAAGTGACGTAATATCATTGAGCCTCGTGTAACTCATCTGTGATATCAGACAATAAAAGCATGCACTTCACAGAGTATTCGGTTCAATGCTGTAATGTATTAGCGCTTTGGGTTTAGCAAATGGCAGTTCTTAATAATGCCTGTATGTCACATAGCAAGGATGGAAGTAGCCTGGAACTCACATTCCCAACTAATACCTACCACTTTGCTGTTTTGTTTTAACCTCTCTGCCTGCTTGCTCTCCCTTTCCAGGTAAATTGAAGAGTAGGAGAGTTAGAAGAGACCCAGGAAGGAGGGTCAAGGGACCTGTAGTCTAATCTACTAAATAAAATATGACTATATCATTGAGGGCCACAAGTATTACTTTTTCTGCAAGTTTCCTGTATCTCTTTTTTCTCTTTTTTAGAAAGAGTGGTGGCATGGATAGCAACAACCTGTCCAGTATCACTGAATTTGTCCTCTTGGGTCTCTCTGAGAGCCCAGAGCAGCAGCCTCTCTTATTCAGCATCTTCCTGACCATGTACCTGATCACTCTGTTGGGGAACCTGCTCATCATCCTGGCCATCGGCTTTGACCCTCACCTTCACAGCCCCATGTACTTCTTCCTGGCCAACCTCTCTTTTGCTGATGCCTCCTTTTCTTCCACCACAGTCCCCAAGATGCTGGCGAACATCCAGACACATAGTCAGACCATATCATATGGGGGGTGCTTGGCCCAGATGCAGTTTTTCATGATATTTGGGGCACTGGACGACTTCCTCTTGGGGGTGATGGCCTATGACCGCTATGTGGCCATTTGCAAGCCCCTTCACTACTCCACAGTCATGAGTCCGCTTGTGTGTGTGCTCCTTCTCATAGCATGCTGGGTTCTCTCCAGCCTTACTGCCCTCTTACACACCCTGCTCATGGCTAGGCTTTCTTTCTGTGCACGTAACACCATCCCTCACTTCTTCTGTGACGTGGTGCCCCTGCTGCAGCTCTCCTGCTCAGACACAAGCACCAACCAGGTAGCCCTGTTCACCGTGGCCTCCACAATACTTACTGGTCCTCCGGCCCTGATTATCCTGTCATATGTACACATCATCGCTGCCATCCTCAGGGCCCCGTCTGCCTCTGGAAGGCAAAAGGCCTTCTCCACCTGTGGGTCCCACCTCACTGTAGTCTTCTTGTTCTATGGTACGGCAGTTGGTGTCTACCTGTGTCCCCCTTCATCACACGCAGGGAGTAAGGACAGGGTTGCAGCTGTGTTTTACACAGTGGTGACCCCCATGCTCAACCCCTTCATTTACAGCCTCAGGAACAGTGATATGAAGACTGCACTGAAAAGGCTTTTTGGAATTCACAACTCTCTCCTCAGGGACTCTTAACCCTATATCTGTATCATCTGTATTTTGAAGTTACACTCTGGAGAAACTCTGGGCTTATGGAGAAATAGTATCCCCTATTACATTTGCTTAGCTTTTAAAAAATGATCTGGAAATCATTCTCTTAAACCCCCCAATCCTACAATGTATATAGTGAGTGTATTTCATAAAGGCCAGGTACTATTGTAAGTGTCAATATTTTCTTGGTGTCTGGTGATCTCAGCTAGACTGGGGCAAGATTAATTAAAACTTCATTTGTGTACTGTTACTCTAATGAAAGTGTGAATTTTTAATGTGCAAATCAACCAGCATTTATTAATGTCTCCCATTTGCTAGGTACTTTGTCAGGCAGAGGCGATACTGATTCCGTGCCTTTATGGAATCCACCTTCCCATGTGGAATGTGGTTGCACATATTGATGCAGTTAGCGACAATACAGGTCCAATCATGATGATTTCTTCATAAAGCCTAATGTTTACTTGATTCTACTTTTTTATCTCTGTAAATGTGTTATGCCAGTTAGTTCCCCAATTATAACCATGTCAGATATGGTACTATGATTATCACATTTTAGAGATGGGGAAACTATCAGTAAATGGGGAATGGAAGGTTGAAATTTATTTCTTTTCTGACTCTGGAGTCCAAACTCTTACATGCTTAAGTATCCTGCTTCTCAATGCTAATGTTTGTACCAAGAGACAGATTCATGTTAAGCTAATATGTGTACGCTGATGCTACCATGTACCAGGCACTGTGCTATATACTATTGGCAAAATGAAAAAATGAGGAAGATACCATCCATGTTTATACATGGTAGAGACAGACACATGTTCAGTTTAGTGTTAATCCAGTCAGATGGTGATAGTTTCCATAGCAAGTGTTGGAGCATAAAAGGAAGAAGAAAAATCTGTCAGGTATAGTTTTACCTATGAGGTGACATTTTATTGAGCCTTAAAGTATAAGCTCATTTGAACTGGTGAAGAAAGAAGAGGGAAGATTCCACAGGGGCAGGCTATTTACCATGGAGGTTATGCTTGTTTTTGGAGCCCATTATAGCCCAACTTTGGAAATGTCTGGTTATCTCTTTGAAGGTGGGTCTTGCCTTTCTTCACCAGTTCAGTTTCCATAAAGTCCCTCGGTCGATTCTCTTCTTTGTGGCTCTCTCTCCTTATTATTTGTTGTCAATGCCTTTGCATTCTGGCTGTAGATTAGTATTTCCTGGTGCTCCAGAACTCTCTAGAGAAGACATCCTAGTGTCTTTCATAAAAACAAAATAATAAAAAAGGTAATTCCAGTGCAACCAGGTTTGAGTATACTGCTGTGGGATTTTTGTCCTGGCAGCAAAAGGACAGATGAAATAAAGTATGAAAATACCTAGTTCATTATTTACCCAACTCAGATAAAAATCACTGGGGGGTGAGCACCAAAAAGTTCCTAAATACTTTATACTGGTTGAGTCCTTTTATACCTAGTCCAATTTTTTATTCCTTGTCTGCTGTAATTCTCTGCCTCTCCAAAAAAGTCCTTTGGGACTTGCTACACACTATCTCTGAATAACAGTTGTTTCATTTTTATGTATTATTTTAAATTATACTAATAATAGTATTAGAGCGAGATATTTATCACTTCCAAAGAGTCTACTTGTACCCTCATTTTTGTGCTTCTACCCTCATTCAAATAGATAATCAGATAGATTGTATATTATTCTGCTTACTGGAAGGATTTCTCCTCACCATTATTCTTTTTGTTGTTATTGTTTTCTAAACACTAAGTTTGAAGTTATTTCCTTCCTTCTTCTTACTTTTGGTATATATCTTGTCCTTCTTTTAATAACTTCCTAAGGTAGAACCTATGTCATTTATTTGATGCTTTTCCCCTCCTTCAATGTATGTATATAAAGAGATAAATTTCCCTTTAAGCATTGCTTTAACTGAAGCTCGTCAACTTTGATATATGGTCTTTTCATTATCTTGCATATCCAAATATTGTCTTACTTCCCTCATGATTTATTTTTTGACTTACGATTTTTAGAAGTGTGGTGGTTAATTTGGACTGGCTAACTGAAATAAGCCAGTCAGAGAAAGACAAATATCATATGATTTCACTCATACATGGAATCTAATGAGCAAACTGAACTAACAAGCAAAATAGAGACAGGCTTATAGATAGAGAATGGGCTGACAGATCTGGTGGGGTCGGGTAAGGGGTGGAGGGAAGAACAAAAATAGAAAATTGTCTCATGGACACAGACAACAATGTGATTGTGGAGGGGAGGGGGATGGGTGGAGGTAGAAGAGGGTATAAGGGGAATCAATGGTAATGGAAAAAATACAATAAAAATAACCTATTAAAAATATTTATGGCTTTTCTACATATTGTTATTGGTTTCTTTAAATTTTTTTTGTTTTCATTTTTTTACATTTGTTTATTATGAAATAATTTCAGACTTGCAAAATATTGCGAAAATAGTAAAAAACATTCTTATTTACCTTATAACCAGCTTCCTTGATAACTACAGTGAAATTACCAAATCAAAGAAGTATTACTGATAAAATTCTATTAAATAATTAGCAGACCTCATTGATATTGTGTCGCTTGCCAGTCATGTCTTTTTTCAGGTCCAGCATCCAGTCTGGGATCACACATTGCCTCTCACTGTTAGAATTTCTTTTAGTTTTGCATAGCTCTTCTGTCTTTCATGATCTTGACACATCTGAAGAGTACTGGACAGTTAGCTATTTTGCAGAATGTCCCTCCACTTGGAGTTGTCAGATGTTTCCCCCTGATTGAACTCAAATTATGCCATTGTGACATCACAAAAGTGAAATTATAAACTTATTATATCATATCAGGAAGTAAATAGTGTTGGCATATTTTATGACTGCTGATGTTTGTTCTGGTCTCTTGGTTAAAGTGATGTTTGTCTTTATTTGTAATATACATTGAAAATGTCTTTTTTCAGTTTGTCAGTTGTCTCTTATTTTGTTTACAGTTTTTCCTTGCCATGAGCAGTTTTAAATTTTTATGTAATCAATTTATCAAAATTATATTAACTCTTGATTTTGAAGGAAAGTTGTTTTCTTTACTGAAGTTAAAGAGGAGTTTACCAGGTGTCTTTCTAGTACTTGCATGACGAATGGCGACACATTTGTCTCAGAACTTTTATTAAAGCTGGAGACAATTTCCCGGTACCAGAGATTCACTCACTAGGAAAAGGTTAGGGTGCACATGTCATCTTGTGCATTAAAAATGGCAAATGTTGCCATGGCTGCTGTGGCTCGGTGGATTGAGCGTCGGCCTGTGAACCAAAAGGTCGCTGGTTTGATAACCAGTTAGGCCACATGCCTGGATTGCTGGCCAGGTTCCCAGTTGGGGGTGTGCAAAAGGCAACCAGTTGATGTTTCTCTCACACATCAGTGTTTCTCTCCCTCTTTTTCTCCTTCCCTTCCCTCTCTCTAAAAAAATTAATAAAATCTTTAAAAAAAATAAAATGACAAATATCATATGATCTCACCTATAAGTGGAACCTAACCAACAATACAAAGATGCAAGGAAAATAAGACCAGCAACACTGAAAGGAAAAGAAATCAACAGAGACAAGAGGGAAGGAGGGAAGGGGGGCGGGGAAAAGGAAGGGAAGGGGAAAGTCAAGGAACATATAACAAGGACTCATGGACAAAACCAAAGGGGGAAGAGCTGAGGGAGGGAAGGAGGGAGGGGGCAAGGAAAAGTGGTGGGGGGTAGGCAGAGACAAATGTATTTGAAAAAATAAATTAAAAAAAATACAAAAAAAATGACAGATGGCAAGCTTCTTTCTGAGAGGGGGTGGAAAGGAAGAGAAGGGAAGGGAAAGAACAGGAAGAGAGAGGAGAGGAAAAAAGAGAAAACTGTTGTAAGCAGTATTTGCAGATTATAGAATATGTGTTGACACTCTGCTAAGCACTTTGTATGTGTTATCTTTTTGAATTCTCACAACAGCCTTAGATAATTACTATAGTTATAATTACTATTCACTTGTTTATATTTGGAAACTGAGACACAAGGATGTTGATAACTTGCTGAAGGTCATACAAGCCGTGAATGGTATATCGAATACATGAGCCCAGGTATTTCTGACTCCAAAATATGTCTTATTTTCATTAAAAAAAACTATTTTAAAATCCTGAGTATGTCAGTGAGATCTCTGTAGTCACAATTATGTAGGGAAGAAATCAAGAGTGCAGTGCAGTTTCCAAAATTTCTCCTGTGTATTATCAAAAAATCCTCTGCGGGTTGTTAGGATATATCCTTAGAAGCATCCCTGGGGAAGATGCAGTAATGAAATTAATACAGGTATCTTTTTAAACAATTTTGTTAAATTTATTGGGGTAACATTGATTAATAAGATTATATAGGGTGGTACAAAAGTAGGTTTGGTTTACAGTCATAAGTACACTAAACATAGTTTATTCCTGTATTATTATTTATCAATTTTATTTTCTATACAAACGACTGTAAACCTACTTTTGCCCCACCCTACATAGGTTTCAAGTGTACATTTCTATGATACATTATCTGTATATAGCATTGTAGATCCACCACCCAAAGTCAAGTCTCCTTCCTTCATCATGTATTTGACTCCTTTTACCTTCCTTTAGTCTTCCTCCTACCCCCTCCCTCTGGTAACCATCATGCTGTTATCAATACAGTTATCTTTTAAAATAGATCTAAACATAGACTGCTGGCATAGTGCTGAAGAATGACAGTTGAGTAGGCTAAACTTGGTGAGAACTCCAAATAATGTGGTCCAAGCACCGTTCTCTCTGATTATGTGGCTTCATTCCTGTCATTTCAGAATACCCAACCAGAGACTTATACTAAAGCAGGGGCGTGGTTCCTTGTGGGGTATACCAGAACCTCTGTGGCTGTTTACTCTTCCATCCTCTACCTTCTTATTTGCCTTGCTTCATCTTCAAATCACTTGCTAGTATTGGGAGAAGCTCTTGATTAGAGCTGTGTGTGTGAACATTATGAAGGACACAAGAAAGAAGAAAACTAGCAATTGAGAGGAATATGTGGATTCATGTCCATTTAGGCATAGAGTAACCATTAAGTGTATGCAATTTGAAATCAGATATCTGTGTTCAAATTCTGGCTTTGCCTCTCAGTAGCTGTGTAACTTCAGGCAAATAATTTAACCCTTTTGAGCCTTCGTTTTCTTTTCTGTGCAATGCAAATGTTTACCTCAAAAGTACATGTTGACTATTGCTGAAGATAATGAAGATCTACCCATAAGATTTGGAACAAGTAAATTTACATATTTATATAGATAGTTATCTTTCTAACCCTCTCCAAAATACTGTATGATAGAGAATAATTTATTACCTCCTTTTGTAGGTGAGGAAATTGTGACCCAATGAGGTTATCTGATTTGCTCTAGATTAGAAAGCTAGCAAGTGGATGTAGATTGCAAGATAACTCTATAAGCTGATTTCCCCCTGAATTCCCCAAATGAAGTCTTTGGCCTCACGGAGATCACAGTGCCCTTCAGCTCAGAAGTCTCCCCAAGGCACTCTTCATGTCTTTGTTCCTCAGGCTGTAGATGAATGGGTTCAGCATGGGGGCCACCACAGCATACATCACGGCTGCAATCCTGTCCTTGCTGGCAGAACCATCAGTGGACGGAATGAAGTACACCCCAATGGCAGACACATAGAACAGGCACACTGCTGAGAGGTGGGAGCCGCAGGTGGAGAAGGCCTTCCACTTCCCACGTGCCGATGGGACCCTCACAACGGCAGCCACAATGCGGACGTAAGAAATGATGATTAGCAAGGGGATCAAGATGGTTAATGCCCCTCCCCAGTATATTAGCACATATTGGTTGGCATAAGTATTGGAACAAGAGAGCTTCAACAGTGGGAGAAGTTCACAAAAGAACTGAGGGATGATGTTGTCTGCACAGAAGGATAATTGAGCCAGCAGAACAGTGTGGGTTAGAGAGTAGGAATGAGAGAGGATTAGGGACATTGCCACCAGCAGAATACAACATCTGGGACTCATGACCAAGGTGTATTGAAGAGGATGGCAGATAGCCACAAGCCGGTCATATGCCATCACTGCCAGGAGGAAAACATCGAGACCAATGAACCATAGGAAGAAGTAGATCTGAGAGAGGCATGCAGCATAGGTGATAGTATGCCTGCGGGCCAGGATGTTCACCAGCATCCTAGGGACCGTGGTAGATGATAAGCACAGGTCAGTGAGGGAGAAGTTGGCCAGGAAAAAGTACATGGGGGTGTAAAGGTGTGGATCAGATCCAATGGCCAGGATGATGACGACATTCCCCACCAGGGTGACCAGGTACATACTCAGGAAGATGCCAAAGAGGAGAGGCTGCTGTCCCTGCTGCTCAGAAAGGCCCAGAAGGAGGAATTCAGAGACACCAAATGTGCGGTTTCCCGGTTTCATCCTGCTGGTGTAACTAAGGCATAAAATGGAAGGTGGAGCTTCAAAAACTTTTCTTGCCCTAATATTGTCTTGATGAAAAAAAAAGGCATAAAATAAAGAGGAATCAGGATGTTAATAGCTATTAACCAAAGCTTAACTCTATGAATAATTATTACACCCATTTTATTGATGAAGGAACTGAGTCTCCTAGAAAGAGAGAGGTAAAGTTTAAATCTGGAAATTCTGACTTTAGAGTCTTTGATCTTACACTTTTCACTAATCTGGCTTTAGTGAGGCACCAAAAACTAATCCACTTATTCATTCCACATTCAATGAGTACTTACTATGTGCCAGTCCCTGCTATAAGTACCAGAGAAAAGGTGGTAACAAATACAGTAAGGTTTCTGCTCTCCTGTAATAATATTTAAATCAGAGGAGTCATGCAATAAGCGCACAAACAAAAAATAAGTGCTAAAATAAAAAAATATACTGATGATAGCAGATTACTTTAAATTTGTTGTCAGCAAAAACTCACTATGAAAGAATGGATAAGAAGACTCCAGCTCAGGAAAGAATTGGGTGGAAGAGTGTTTCAGATACAAGGAACCGTAAATGCAAACATGGGATAAGAACAGGCATTTGGGAGAGGGGAAAGAAGAGAAGTGTGGCTGAAGTATGGTGAGCAAAGGAGAGTGGTAGGAGAGGAGATGGGCAAGGCAGGCAGGGGCAGGTCCCATGTGGCCATGGGGTGCACACTCTCAGCACAGGAACTTGTGGTCATGGGTGCGTGTTTAAGCAGTGTAGACAGTCCCTATCTGATTTATGGTGTGGAAAGATCACTCTGCTACTGTCAAGAGAAGGATTGCAGGGACAGGAATGTAAACAGGGAGTAAGGAAACACATATGGAATTCAGAGTGATTTTGGGCCATGTTTTAGAGAGGTTAGCGACTTGCTCAAGGAACCGTACATGGTGGCTCTAGGCTCTACAGTAAAGACTTTCCTTGTCTCCTGCTGCACCGGTAGAGGTAAAAATAGTGAAATTCTCTGAAATAATAAGGAAAGAATTAGGTCATTTCCTTTATCAACAGGTGCCATTCAAAAATCATATAGCTAAAAGAATCAGAGAAATGATCTCTAGACTCTTTTCCAAATGGCAGAATCCTGGGAATGTCCTGGCAATGTAAGGGGACTAAAAGAGGAGCCAGTGATGTGGGTAGTTCTTTGTCATTCCTAGACGGTGAAAGAAGGGAAAAGGCAAAGGTGTCAGGGACCATTTGCAGGATCATAGATACAAAAATCACTTATGATGTGTTTACTGTGTTCCAATGGTGTCTGTCATTGAAGCCATACAACCCATATGCCACAGTTACCTCGCACTTTCAGATCAGGAAACAGAGAGCTCCAAGAGACTAACTGACTAGCCTGACATTGTGTAGCTAATAAGAGGACAAGTCAATAGCAAACTAAGATCTCTCTTCTGCCCCACCTGGAACTTTGTCTATTGTGCAGTTCTACCTCCTAGAAGAGACAGACTTTTATTTTCTCATGGGAACTATAGATATTTGTCAGCTACTTTGGGAAGGTAAGTGTGAAGTCAGTCCAACCTTTAGATGCCTCCACGGTGGGTCTACGGAGCCATGTTTGTCACTTTTCACCTATTCAAATATTCCTTATGCCAGGAACACCTGTAGGCACTAGGCATTGGAAGTTAAATCAAGGCAGGCACAGTCTGGGTGCTTACAAACTGATTTGGGAGACTGACACTAAGCAAGTAAACAAGTGAACACCTAATCAGAAACTCTGATTGGTATTGAAAAGGAGAGATATGGTGGTATCACCTAGAAAGTATAATTTAATGGCCTAATTTAGCTCAGAGCTCAGGGAAAAACTTCTTTGAGAAAGTTAAAAGTAATTTGGGGTCTGGAATAGTTATTAGCTATATCATGAATAGAAGAAAAGAGAGCAGGAGTATAAACTTTTCAGCATACATGAATGTCCAAACAAGGTAAAAAGGGTCTGGCTGGTACAGGAATACCAGTGTGGCTCCATAATAGTGAGCAAGATGATAAGTCGCATGAGATACGATCTGGGCTCTCTGGCCACAGGTGATGACAGTACCGTGGAATCAGCTGATTCAGAGTCAGGTGGGTTGTCTTCTAAACTTGGAATTAGTGATATAGAGAGTTTAGCCTGTTAGTTTTGTGCTCTGAAGATAAAAGTTCATGCAGGATTTGAAGTTCAGGCAGAGTTGGGCAGTCTCCTGGCCACCGCAGCCTTGCATAAACCCTTGTTAAAAGGAAGAGGAACTATTCTGCACAGATATATCTGCACGGAAAACATTGGAACAAAGCTGGAGAAAAGAGCAGTCAGGAGGTGTGGCATCTCAGAAGGACAAAGAGTAGCTGACTCCTGATTTTCCAGTGTAATTTCATTCTCGTGAGCCTTTCCCTCCATAATAAGAGACAGAATGACTTAGTGCTCAAGATTGCAGACTCGGGGATAAGACAGACGAGCCTATCGGTCCTGCCCCTATCATCTATGAGCTCTGGGCAAATCACAAAACATCACAATGATCATAGCAACAATAGCAAGAAGAGTCAATGAGTATTGACAGTTAACATCCTGCCAGGCACTGTGCTAAAAGTGCTTTACTTACCTTATCTCATTGTATTTTTACTATCTTATGAGATGAACTCTCTATTTTTCCAATATGAAACTAAAGTGTAAAGAAATGAAGTGATTTGTTCCAAATGAGGCAGCTGGTGAGTAGAAAAGTCCAAACTAGAGCCCTGGTCTGTCTGACTCAGTACTTACCCGACTGACTCCAACCAATCTTAGATTTTACTGAGCAGCGAGCTTCTGAAGCTTTAACACTTTCCCTCTGGACAATGGCAAATTCATCATAGTCCCTGCTAGAGACTCTGCCTCTTCCTCTGATTGGATGGAAATGTAGGCAGCCATGCAATAGATTTCTGGGGCCACAATAAATGAACCAAGAGGGCCAGAGGGGGCTCGTTGGGAATATTTGGTAGTGTTGGAGACACCAGTGTTCTCATTAGTGGAAACAGAAACTAATTATTTCTGAACCCTTAAGGAGGGCACTGCTATTTTCAGGTAGGATTCCTGTTCTACTTGCAGACGCTCAGAGAATGTTTCTCTCTCTAGTCTTATCACTAGAACTGTTCTGAGCTTGCCACTGTTGCCCTATTCACTTCTGTCTGTGACTGAGAAGGAAGAACTTGGGTAACAGGTGGAGAAGACAGTAGAAATGAGGCATCTCTTTTCTCACCTGAACTTGACATTGTCTTAGTCCAAGAATCTTAGCCAATATTCTAACCCTTTTTTGTGTGTGTTGTTATCCTCATCAAATGCAACCAGTGTCTTTTGTAGAACAGAAATTCTTAAATTTAATGTGGACCGATTTATCCATTTTGTCTGATATATTTTGCTCATCATTTTGTTTGTGAGAGTCATCAGTACTTAGTATGTATTTGGCTTATTTATTTTTATTTTGTTCCATTATGTAAATATATCACAATTTTTAATCCATTATGATGTAGATGGGTATTTAAGTTTTTTTCCAGTTTTGGACTATTATGAATAGGGCTGCTGTGGATATTCTTGTAATTATCTTTTATATAATATTTGCAGAATATTACAGAAATATTTTCAATTTTTTTAAGTACATACCTAGGAATGAAAATGCTAGGTCATGGGGAATACATTAACAGATACAATCAGTTACACTTCAAAGGGTTTAGACCAATGTGTACAACAGATGCTCTTTTCTGAAGTTTCAGCTTCATGGATTCAGTTACCCAAGGTAAACCACAGTCTGAAATATAAAATGGAAAATTCCAGAAATAAACAGTTCATAACATTTTAAATTGCATGTCCTTCTGAGTAGTGCGATGAAATCTCGTACCATTCCGTTCCATCCCCCCCGGTACATGAGTCATCTCTTTGTTCAGCGTATCTATGCTGTATGCACTACCTGCCCCATTAGTCACTTTGTAGCTGTCTTGGTTATCAGGCCTGTTGTCATGATATCGCAGTGCTTGTGTTCAGGTAAGCTCTAATTTGTCCAAAGTGCAAGAGTAGTGTTGTTGGCCATTTGGATATGCCGAAGAGAAGCATAAGTGCCCCCTTTAAGTGAAAAAGTGAAAGTTCTAGACTTCGTAAGGGAAGAAAAAAAAATGCTGAGGTTGCTAAGGCCTACAGTAATAGTGAATCTTCTATCTATGAATTTGTGAAGAAGGAAAAAGAAATTTGTGCTAGTTTTGCTGTTGCACCCCAAACTGAAAAAGTTATGGCCACAGTGTGTGTTAAGTGCTTGGGATGGAAAGGCGTTAAATCTGTGGGTGAGAAAAGTGAACAGAAAACCTGTTCTGCCTGAGGGCAACATGTTGCTCCAGAAAGCACTGAGCCTATCTGAAGCAGAGGATCTCCTGAAATAAGTGACATCAAGCTGTTTACAGCAAGGAAGGGATAGTTTCACAGATTCAGAAGTAGGTTTGCATTTTAACATCTCACATCATCACAAGGGTGAGTACAGTACAATAAAATATTTTGAAAGACCACATTTATACAACTCTTATCAGAGTATATCATTAGAATTTTTCCATTTTATTGTTATTGTTGTTATCTCTCACTGCCCCTAATTTATAAATTAAATATTACAATAGATATGTATATATAGGAAAAAACAATATATATAGGGCTTGGTACTATCTCAGGTTTCAGGCATCCACTGATGGTCTTGGAACGTACCCCCTGCAGATAAAAGGGTACTACAGTGCCACCACTTGTGCCTAAGGGGGTTTTAGTTGATTCACATCCCCATGTTTGTGAGTCCTTTTTCCTTTTTGCTCATTCCCTCCACCCTCTAACCTCTAGCCCCTTGGCTGTCATTCTGCTCTCTGTCTATGAGTCTGTCTCTATTTTGCTTGTTAGTTCAGTTTGTTCATTAGATTCCACATATGCATGAAATCATATGGTATTTATCTTTCTCTGACTGGCG